AATAGTGAAAAAAAATAATAGTTCATCACACACTTTGCTTTAACTATATAAAACGCACGTAAAGCAACCTCCTTACGCAATCTCTCAATATAATAGTAATCGATGCAAACAAAAAGTGAAGATTTGGATCTGGAAATAGTTGGAAAATATACTTCAAGGTAAAGCAATTAATGCTACCGTTCTCATGACAATATGAGAGCTGTATCCAGACATTCTAATTTAATTGAATCATCACTTCACTTCAGTGGCAATTCGATGAACTATCACCAATTTTATTGCTAAAAAGAAAGATGTTATGAGATTAACAAAAAAAAAATACAGAAACACTGCAGATTTAAACACAGGCATTGATATACGGGCAAATATATACTTAATATTTAAGACGTGTATATGCATCATGGACACGATTGAGTGCTTACTCGGCTAGCATCAGGATCCAGGCAAGTCTGCGAATTTTGGGAGTCGGAAACAGCTTTAGGGGAAACAATAATCGGAGCATTACGCCTCTCCGACGATTTCCCTCCGGAACGGCTGCAGCGCCGAGAAACTAACGACACGAGTTTGTCGCCGGAGAGATTAGAAGACGCGAACGAGAGGCTCTTGAACCTCGCAGCACGACGAGCAGAGCCGTCGTTCCTCTCAGCCGCGCAGGTATACGGAGCGAGCTTCGGAGCTCCGATTGCCGCCGCCATTGCCTCTCTCTTCGATCGGTATGGAGTGTGTGGAGGTGAGTGAAGAGTGGTGGAAAACTGGAAATAATATAACCGAACCAGCTTGTTTTTTTTAAGAGCTGCGTAGCTGCCAGCTGTTAATAAATTGTCACTCATCTTGTCGGAAATTACAGATTTGCCTTCGCAAATGACCAGTCATCAGCACACCTGTCACGGAGGGTAGTACGGGAATTTAGGATGCCTGTTAAGGAAAATCTTTGTGGACGCAATTCGGCTATTCCAGGGAATATTACGATTTGGTCACGTGGGGCCCTTACGAAATCTGTAACTTGCTTTGAGCCGTTGATTATTAAGTTCATGATACACGTATATTGTCCGTACATCTGATAATTTATTCTTGCGGAATAATTATTAATATATTTTAGGAATTTTTATAACTCCTGCTTAACTATAGTTCAAATTAAGAAAGTATAAAATGATTAAATTAATAATTGTACAGCAGAACTAATGCATTGATGTACGGTGTTGCAAACTTTTTTAATCAACTTACTAACGAATTGAGGGTGTTAATCAAGATTCGATGGAAGGTCTGATTTAATTGTATTTTATTTAATTTTTTTTTTAAAATACGGTCCACCTAAATACTATTTAATGCAGCTTATATAGTTGAAGTAAGAGAACATGTCTTGAACTTCTGCATGTCCACCACGTGTCGTGAGCACATTAGGCAAGCGGCTGGTGATCGTGCACATTACATCTGTCTAAATAAAGCTAACCGATCATAGGTGTATGATGTGACGGTTTTTTATGTGGTCGGGCTGGGCTTATTTTAAGGTTAATTGATTGATTAAGGTCATTATTCCCAATTAGTTTAGCTTGAGAATAATTCGCCAACCAACAACTAAGCTCCACGACTAATTTAACTACTTACTCTACCACATTCGTGGTCAAGAACTTGTGTTCCTGAATGTGGTCGGAAAATGTCGAATAGGACGATCTGTACAATTACTAAGCCAAATTCTAGTACATTGAGGTCAAACTTCTTATCAAGTATAAATAACTAATATACTCCGTATCATTTATATATAACAATTATCAAAGGTTTAGATAGCTCGATCATTTGATAATTAGTAAAGTTATATATTAAAAAAATAAAACATATCATTCAATCCATCAAACAAAATTCAATTCATAACATTTATAAAATAATAAAATAATAAAATAACATCCAAAATTCATAAGTAAAGAAGTCCATATGTATAATGGTTTTTTTTTTTTTATAAAATTCAACATAATAACATTCAAATATATCAGATTATTTAACATTAATAATTGGCGTAAGGTCTTTGTGTAATGTAATAAATTCATCCTTAGTCATATTCATAACATCTTATGTAATATCAATATATCATTCAATTTTTTATTTTTTTTTGAGTTAATATATCATTCAATTTGGTTTGTCTTTTAAGTCTAAAATTTTTGAAAATATAATATTATAAGGGAAGTGATTGTCAACTAAGTAGCCGTCGATTTCGCCTACCTAGCAAACACGTACGATGCACAATATAATCTCGTTGGGCAAGTAGCGTACACCCCACACACTCATCATTAATTTTCTTTTATGCATATAATTTATATATATGCATTAACTAAATCTCCATACCTAAACCCCATCCAAGTCTTTTTAGGATTTTTTTAGTTTTTAACTTTTCTTTTATATTAAATAATAATGGATTCTTAGTTGGTTATATAAATCAGTGTGTAAATGAGTTAACATGATAATATTAACGGGTTAAACAAGTTCTTAATATGTTTAAGGGGTTGACAATTATAACAGGTCAACCCATTAATGACCTGAGAATCGTTACAAATAAATACTAACATATTATTTTTGACTTTTCGTGTTCGATTTCGTATCATGTTAACAGATTCTGTCGATAATTGTAACTTGTAGGTTATGTTTGTCAAACCTAGTTGAAAAGGTAGCTAAAAGCTGAAACGCTATAAAATAGGAGCTGAAAATGGAAGAACTTATGCTTGAAATTGTTTGGTAAAATTAACTTTTTGAGAAACTGATAAATGTAAAAAGACAAAAAAATGATATCTTCATAAAATTTAAATTAGTTTGTTTACATATTAAAATTTAATATTTTGTCTTTAAAAAAAGTAACATTTTAAAATAAAACTATTAGCATAATTATAATCTAGCATTCCATAATAAAGTAACAATATTGATGTGAATCTCCTTCATATAATAATAATAATAATAATAATAATAATAATAATAATAATAATAATAATTGCAGTGAAAGTTACAGATAAAAAAGAAGAGAAAACGGAAAGGGTAAATGATGTTATTTCTTTAAAATAATAAGTATAAAAAAATTAAAAAAAATACTAGTTTATCTTATGCTACGAGCTTATTTTAAAAATATTATCAAATAAAAGTTCCTAAATAAACTCTGTTATAGAGACTCGGTAAGTTCTAGCTAGGTAGCAGCTAGGATACATATATATGGGGAATGAAGAACTTTAGCGTGAAGGGGGATGGTGGTTAGGTCAGAAAGAGACAAGCTAAGTAGCAAAATCTCTGAAATTGAGGGGGGTGGGTTGTTATTGATATCGCCAGCAGGGATAATGGTGTATGATACGACTTTCAAGATAATCATTGACTACAACAATCCATGTGGAGCTTTGGACGGTAGCCATTGGTGCCATCAGCGTCCCAGAAAATCATGCGGAAAACAATAAACAATTAATGGACGACCACCATCATACCACACACCGCAATTAACACTATGAGATGAGATTGCTATTTCATTTTCAGGACCGCTTTAACTCATTAGTTTAGTAGGCAGTATTTAAAAAAAGAAATTCATATTTAAATTTCAATGACGGTAATGTGAGAATTATACTTGAAGTGAATAGATTTTTTGTGCACACCGACATTTGTCATTAAGTCACCATAATTTACATTATTCTAAATGCTCTGTTTGACAGAGTGTGAAACTGGGAATTCAACTTTTTTAAGAAGAAGAAGATCGATCACTGTGTCATTTCTGTTGTTTTATAATATCTAATACGAAGTATATATTTATTGGTTTATACAATTAAATTAAAACAACTATTATTATTATTATTATTATATAAACACACTTTTACAAAAAGCGAGTGCATATAGATGTGAGTTTTAAAATCGTTCATTCTTTTTAATTTGAGATGGGATAGATAGAATGATAGAATTGCCAAAATTGTCATAATATATATTGATACTAATGGTGGCTTAACATGCATAACGAAGTAAAACATGTGTTTTTGGTATTTATACAAGTGGTATTAAGTTGGTAATATTGGTACAATAATGACTCTAATGACATTACTTGGAAAGTTAGCTAATGATGTATATATAAAGTAGACTCATTATTTAGAAAGTTAGCTAATGATGCTTAATTATAGTTTTAGAAATAGTTTGATAGTGAAAAAAGTTTGAACTTCCTTCTAAATAAAAAAAATTGAAAAATTATTGTCATATTTAATTTTGGCGTTATTTTAACTTAGAAAAGTTTTAATTAATTAAAAATATTATTTATTAAAAGGTGAACAAGTTAATTCTAATTAGGAGGGACCCTATTCTTTTTCCTAAGGAATTAGAGATATGTAAATTTTTATTCTATTACATTTTATTGTTGTTTGTTTTTTTTTTTTTTTTTTTTTTTAAAAAAAATTCTTTAGGTTGTTTGTATGTATATGGTAATAATATATTGGGTATTAGATATGATTTTTCTTTAAAACTTTAAACAAACCACCTAAAACATTAACTAACTAATTGATTTTATCAACAAAATTGTTTCAAATAAAATATTAATTAAACAGCCTCTTAAACAACTCTTGGTGATGACTTACCCATTTCACAACAATCTTCTCTAAGATCGGTGAAATTATTATTTTTGGACTAAATAATTTGTTATTTTAGATTAAACTTGATGGGCCAAACCGACAACATTTATAATAATTTGAATACCATATAACAGTATTAATTTACAATCATTAAACTATAGACGAGAAAATTTCAATTTTGGTCCACTGACTATTGCACTTATGTTAATTGCAACACTTGACTATTAAAAATGTTAATTTAGTACCTTGACTATGCAATTTTTATCAATTTTGGTCACGCCGGCCAAATTAGCGGCCAAATATGAAGGGAAAATTTTAAGTCAACAATTTAACTTAAATGGGAGGATAAAATCGACATTTCATGTTCACTCCAATTTGGGTAAGACCAAAGTCACGCTCCTCCCGCATCTCCGAACACGAAAGCGATCCAGCTCAGAACAGAAATGGAGAACACGAACTGCTGTTAAGGTACAAGAATTCCTTAAACACCTCAATGATATGCTGCGCCTCTTTGTACTCATCGCAATCGTCGTCTTCCTTCACCCTAAACTTGAACCGCTTCCCGACGACAATCTTCATTATCAAATTCAACGTTAACTACCAGAACCACTCGTTCATGTCGACTGTTTTGGCCGAAGAAGAACCACTAATCATTCGCTAAAATCTGTCTCTGAGCACCAAGGAAATGAGATTGAGAAAGTAAGGAAAAGTCTAAAGAAGACCTCCAACTCCATATTAGAAAATTCTGGACAGTCAGAGGTTGTTACTCAAAACCTTAGGAAGCCATCAAGCACTCTAGTCCTTGAACTTTCAAGAAGAGATGGCAAAACTCCATTCAAAGAAACCACCAAACTTTCTGATGCAGAAATTATTCCAAAAAGGCCATCAATGGAGGCAATAATTAATGATCCTTGTGGTGTTACTGTATCTGAAACTAAACCCGAACCCGTTGCTTTGTACTCATCGCAATCGTCGTCTTCCTTCACCCTAAACTTGAACCGCTTCCCGGCGAAAATCTTCACGATCAAATTCAACGTTAACCGCCGGAACCACTCGTTCATGCCGATCATTTTCGGCGAAGAAAAGCCACTGGTGACCAGCATGTAGAGCTCTTTCAGGTTGGTCTCCACCTCCGAAACGCGGAGATGTTTGAGTTTCTCGAGCTTCTGCGATGATAGCAGTTCCGTCACGGCGAACTTCCGCATTTTCCGCCAGTAGGGGCTGTCGATGTCGAGGCTGAACACGTCGTAGTTATAGGCGAGGTATTTTCCGACAGCGAAATCCGGGCGACCATGACTTTGTTGTTGGTGGTGAAGCAGTTCTTCACGGCTTCCCAGCTACAAACCACCAGGATCCGCCATCCGGCCAATAGGAATATCACCGCAGTTTCTGGCCGAGAGGAATATCTCCGCTGCCGAGTATGGTGGAATGGAGTCAAATGCAAACACAGAAGAATCAAGTATGGTGGAATTACAGTGATTGGTAGACGGCGATCGATCCAGAAGGTCGCTGTGCCGGCGCCTTTGCCGCCGCGGAGATAGCTTTCCCAAATTGGAGTGTGAAATGTCGATTTTGCCCTCCCATTTAAATTAAATTGTTGACTTAAAATTTTCCGGTCATATTTGGCTGGTAATTTAGCCGGCGTGACCAAAATTGATAAAAATTGCATAGTCAAGGTGCTAAATTAACATTTTTAATAGTCAAGTGTTACAATTAACACAAGTGCAATAGTCAGTGGACCAAAATTGAAATTTTCTCAACTATAGACCATCATCCACTTTAGGTACATTTTTAATATATTAAATGTTTATTTTTATTATCAAATAATGAACTTTTAGTGTATAAATATTTTCGAAAAAAAAAACTTTTAGTACATAAATAGTAAAATTTTGATATATTAAAAATGAACATTTATTCATGATATATTTTGTCACTATTTTATTATTTGGCTAATTAAGCCCACTACTGAATTGAAATTTGAAACTATTACACTAATGGCCCGTTTGGTTCACGGAATAGGCCGGGAATGGCATAGCATTCCCAGTAATAGGCCTATTCCTTTGTTTGGTAACCATTTCTATTACCAGGAATAATATTCCTGGTAATAGCCTATTACCTCAAATAAGGTAATAGCTATTACTAGGGCCCCCCTGGTATTAGCATATTACTGAACGCTCAGGAATAGATTTTAGAATCTATTTTCTTTTTTACCCATTTCTTTAACCTAATTTTTTTATCCTATATATAAATTTATCCTATTTCACCACCGTCGTCGCCACCACTATCGCCGCTGCCGCCACCACCACCACCACCATTGCCACAACCGTCACCGCCCCCACCACTGCCACCGCCACCACCACCACTACCACCCTAGCACCACCGTCGCCACCAGAACCACCACCCAGGAGCACCACCGCCACAATCGTCACCGCCCCCACCACCACTGCTACCACAGCACCATCACCGCCGCCACCACCACCATCGCCACCGCCGCCGCCACCACCACCATCGCCACAACCGTCGCCGCCCCCACCATCGCCGCCGCCCCCACCACTGCCACCGCTACCACCACCACTACCACCCCAGCACCACCACCATCGCCACCACCATCGCCACCACTACCACCCCACCACCGCCACCACCACCATCGCCACCATCACATATTTTTATAAGGGTATTTATGTCTTTTAAAACATATTTCATTTCTATTCCTTAAATCAACCAAACACTGTAATATAATTCCTAAAGTCTATTCCTTATGCGAACCAAACAATAAAATACAATTCTTATTCTATTCCTTGCCTATTCCATTCCTTATGGAATAGCATTCCTATTACCTCAAAATTCATTCCGTGAACCAAACGTGCTGTAAGGGTATATTTGGGTCATGAGTTTATACACCAGTAATGGAAAAATCATAGTTATTATTTGGTTGATATTTTTTTAAAACACAATTATGTGATTTGATTATCCATTCAATTAAAACTCTCATTCCCTAATTAAAAACGAGTATCATTCTACGCCATCTTATCCTTCATCATATGTCACCTCCTGATCTGCTGCCTCCTCACTACATCCCTCATATTTTTGTTTTGATTTGTTGTTCATATTGGTGTTTTGGATCGAATTTCATTATATTAGGATCAATTCCTTTGATTTTTTTTTGAAAGGTCCTTTGATTTTTTTTTATTTGTTTTATTTTTAAAACTTTTATTCCCATTTAGGGTCATACATCACCAAACATCAGTATTGGTAATCATTTCAATTCAATCCTACTACCAAACATGCAAAATACTTTCACAAAATCCATTACGATTACCAAGTATTTGATTGTCATTCAAATTTCAATTCTCATGTGCAAACCAAATAACACCCTAATTATAATGAAATCTGATCCAAAAACACCAATATGAACAACAATGGTTTAGAATTTAGATGGTAGTTTAGTGTGGTGTTGCAACTTCTTGATCCGATCCTCATCAATATTATCCCAGGAGCACACGAAATACACCATTATCTCTTCGGTTTCCTGAGTCATCTGCACCAACAAATAGTTACGTTGCACAAAAAATCCAAATAATCATGGTAATTGATCAATTTGGCTGTTACCACAAACAAATGTTTCTTATCTTTGACGTTTCAGGCCATGCACGTGATGACGTGAATACACATGTGCACCACCCCCCACCCCCAAAAAAAAAAAAAAAAAAAAGCCCCAAATCTGGAATCTAGATATTGCTAGCGAGCAACAACCCATGCATTTTCACACTAGAGTATAGTAGTGTACGTTACAATATGCCATTATTTATATATGTTGAGTCGATTTTCAGTCTTGACTACGTACCATGCATTAATGAGCACAGTTGATATGCAAGGGGTATGGTACCGTTGCCAAAAGAAACACTATTTTTTTGTTAGAGCTACAAATTAAAGCATATATAGGTATGGTAATTAAACACTATTTAATTTCCACATGAAGCCAAGAGGAAATTAAACCAAAGAGAGCCAGATCAGACTTAATTGAAGCAGGAATTGTTTGTATTAAAAATAGCAATCACCAACAGAAAATATTCCAAATTAAGATAAAAGATAAGTCAATCGAGAGAAGTGGATATATAGGGGGCCGGGTTTCATTGCTTTGAGGAGTTGGAGAGTGATATATAAAAGGGACCCCAGTTGTAATATACAAATATATATAGTTACAGTTTTTTATTTGCAAGTTTCATATGTGTGGTATGTAATTGACTTTCAAACCATGCATCATAATTTCGAGTTGGGTTAGTTTTCACCCTTTGGAGAGAGCAGAAGGCGGAGTGAAGCTAGCTAGCTTTGTTGTTTGAGAACTGGTGCTGAAATCCTTATTTTATTGCTTATAAAAGTTCAAAATTTCTCGTCCCAAGGTCCCTCACACCTTAACCCGACAAGATTGTATAGGGATAAATCATTGTAATTAACAGCTCATTAGGTAGGAAGACTAGTGTATTGTGGTGTTTTTATCCAAAAATACTTATTGTCTACATTTGTCCTTGTGCGCACACACAATTAATATATATATATATATATATATATATATATATATATATATATAGAGAGAGAGAGAGAGAGAGAGAATGGTAAAATTACTCCTTAAAGATAGTGAAGACTCAAAAGGAATTGAATTATGGGTGTCTGATGTTGATTTGATTTTGGGCCCAACTAATGGATGTTCACTTGAAATTGGACCTCCCAAAACCCATATTGGGTTGAATCTCAACATGTTTTTAAATATAATTTTGATTGATTCTATGTGAAGAGACAACCAAGACAACTGTTATATCGTGCACTAAGATGTATAATGCATTATGTGTTTTAAAAATCTCATATTTTGTATATACATAATTGTATATTAGAGTATACATAAACTCCAAATATACATACACAATTACACATAATCTAATATAATACATAATACACATAAACTTTTAGGGCGCACAATATATTGTACACACTGGTGCACGATATAATTTGCCACTTTGATAAATTAACCAAGATTTTGACTGGATACGAAATCATTGATGCTCGATCTAATCATATTTTTATGGAGATTCTATTTATTGCTGTAAGATTCCCAATTAAGCGTACTGGCAAAAGTCAGTAGTAGTAAAAAAAAAAAAAAAAAAAAAAAACGAGGAGTTGTAGAATGGAGTAGTGACCGCTTCATATAGTGAAGGATTTTGTAAAAAAAATAATACTAATAAAATGCCCATGTAACTTTATTCATTATATTATTGTTTCTGGTTAATTTATTGACTTTTTCTTTCTTTCTTTCGGCTAAATATTATCAGAGTAATGTTTATAAACTAGTAAACAACCATTACGAGATCAGAATTCTTTATTATTAATGGTGTGTTTAGAAATCAGGAAAACGAGTTCAGAAAATAGTTTCATTTTTAGTGTTTGGTTGCATTCTGAAAAATTGTCTTGGTGTGTTTGGTTCATATTTTGAAAAATGAGTAGAATTGTATAATTAAATATTTTAATTGTTTTATTTAGAATTTAAAAATAGTGTTATTTATTAAAAATAAAAAAAGAAAAAAACTCCTGATTTTCAGCAGAAATCAGAGCTGCTCTGGTTGCCTCTGTGAAAATCAAAACAGTGCTCGATAGTCATTTTCCTCGTAAATAGTCATATTTTCTCAAGTCGATAAAAAAAATTTCTGTTGACTTGATTTTCCAGGCACATTTACATACTGAAAATGCGAAAAAAGGAGTTGAAAACACACCCCAAATATGAAATGCGCTGCCTTGCAATTTCTAATTTGTAGTAACTCATAATGAATTGTGCATTATACTCCGTAATATGTTATGTAAGTAGGATCAAGGGTTTTTTGTTTTGTTTTGTTTTGTTTTTTTTTTTTTAATAATGCATCTTCAAAGAAAAAACAAACACAATTAAATTCTCATTATTGCGTACTTCGCTTCTGCCGCGTCCAAACTTAGGGGACATATCATGCTTTCCGAAAGTTTATCAAGAATCACTCCCCCCAGTCTTTTTTTTTTTTTTGAACTTCATGAAAGAGAACAGCCCAATAAAATTAGAAGCAAATAATAATCTTATAAGGGCATTTTCATTAATGGATTTTTTTTTTTCAATTTTGAGGCAAATCATTTAATGTAGAGGAGAAAAGTTATGAAAGAGAAAAAAAAAATTAGATCAGTTACTTAT